CTATTTGTTCTATGTTCTGTGAACTCCAAGTTGCTTAGTTTTCTGAGATTAGCCAAGGTAAGCTAGAGATCTGGCTGCAATAAACTCTTTTATTCAAGATAGACCACAATTATCTTCCACACCTTGAATTTAATTACTGTTATACACCTTCAGGATTGTTTTCAAGGGCTGAGGCCTCACCAGGTGCCACGTCTATCTTTGATCACCAGGTGATACAAAAATAAAGACAGCGCAGAGCGGGCGAACGTTACTTTATTTAATATGCTTAAGACGTGTTTAATATACTTCATGAGGATCAAAGAAGAACAAAAAAACCCTCTCCAGAGCAAAGAGGGAAAAAGTTCACAACCTCTTATTTGGGGCGGGAGGCAGGGAGGAAATTAAATAAATTCATGTAAAGTGCAGTAGCACCATCCTGTGGCCGAGATTAAAACGTTCATCCTTTTCCTGCACTTTTAAAAGCAGGAGCTCATAATAAAACGTTTTCAGAACAAGGAATCTTTTCAAGATAATGAATGGGGTGAGTTTTGGCTGATCTAAGACCACCTGACATTTCCAAAGCTTTTCCTCATAACGCAATTCATGATTTGCCACCTTATCCAAGGACTGAGGTTCCCAAAAATATTTTAGTTTTCATTTTCAAAATAACTTCAGAGCAAGAGGATTCTCTTCCTAATCTCCGCTGAGCAAAACCCTGCCATTTTTCAGTTTCCTCCTACCGTGTTTCTCATATAATAAGGCCGGGTCTTATTTATTTTTTTTGAGCCCCGAAAAAATGGCTAGACCGTCTTTTTTGGGGTGACTTAATTCCCCGCCCCCCTTGCATCTTCGGGCGAGCGGGTGGCGAGGGCTTGGATGTTGACCTCGGCGTTGGCGGGGCACTTCGTATCGGGGTCAACGCGGGCAGCACCATATCCGGGTGTGCCACAAAAGTACTTCCTAACGGCAAGCCCCTCCTCCATTCCCCCCCCCCCACAATTTCGCATGTTTTAATATAGGCCTTAATTTGGGGAGAGGGGCTTAATTTCACTTCATGCCTATAAAACATGCTGGGACTTCCTATTGGGGAAAGCCGTATTGTTGGAGAAACAGGGTAATACATTTTAGGTTAATTACCCATCTAGCGGTCTATTTTACTTTAACATTACTAGACTGGATGGCAATGTTGATGTTTGTATTCATGCTGTTTGGCTAATTAGCAGACCTGATGAACATACGAGCCTTGCCAGCTTCGTTGAAAGGAGCATGAATTACGAAGGTTTCACTAACGTTGAGTTCCAGATACATTTACATTCTTTTTTCCCCTTTTTTCCTTTTTTTGGGGGGGAGGGGGAGATTCACCAAAGCTTACTAATCCACTTTCCTTTGTTCCCCAGATCAGAAGTATTAATTCTTCCTACAAAGTACTGTAGAAAGTTAGCACCCAGCCCTCCTAGAAGAATGAAATGTTTGAGGAAATATTTAAAAGGCAGAATACTATATTTCCCCTAAAAGAGAAATCTTAAGGGAGACAGAAAGCTTCAGCCCTTGGAAGATATTTAGTGCCCGTTGACTAAGCCAGCCTATCTACAAGTCAAAAGACCTTCAGCTCCAGGGTGATGGGATTAAGATATGACCCTCCAGGACACAATAGGATTATCTAGCAGCGGGGCTCACCGCATTGCAAAATCACCCACCAGGCTTCAACCAAACTTATCTCAGACAAACTCCTAGCATGGGAGTCAGACGACAGCTAATAGAATACACGTTCTTGCACAGGAACAGGAAGCTCAAGGACAAGGCCCAAGAGAAGGTATAAACACCCCTCTCTTTCGTCACTCCATGTGGTCAGCTGCACTAGGACCATGTGCTTGATGGTTCTGCTCCATTAAACCATCTTTCCCATCAGCCTCCACGTTTCCAGTGCTTTTCTTCCCACTTGGAACTGAACCAGATGGAAATTTCTTCCAACAGTACTCAATGGATTGGCTGATCTTTGCTAACAATCAGGACAGGTCTTAGAAGACTAATCGAGTCCTAGACTCACTTCTGTCCATGGTAATCTAATTCTTCCCGGAACAAATGACCCATCCAGCGATCCTAAACTATAGTCCTTAATGGGTGAGAAAAGGACAGGGTGGGAAATAAGAGAGAAAGCTAAGAACACTGGATTCAACCCTCCAGCAACTAAATGCCAACTGTTTCAAAATGAGGCCAAATATCTATTTGGTTTCATCAACCCAGAGTGCTGTTTTCCTTGAAGATCAAGCCAAGAGGGTCTCATTCAGTCAAACCTAATCAAGTTGATTAGCTGAAGATCTAAGTGGGATTCTAAAAGAGGACCCTTTGTTGTAGGCCTTCAACAATCTAGGGTGGTCTTTGGTCAACTAAAAATTGGAGAATTAAATATGAGGACCTAGTATAGGAAGCCCCAACCCGCTCCTAGAGAATGAAATATTTTGAGGGAATATTAAAAGAGTCAGAACACTATATTTTCCCCAAAGGAAAAATGGAGAAACGTGTTCTTAAAGGCAGAAAGCATCCTCAGTCTTCCTGCCATAGGAAAACAGCTTCAAGCAGAAGCTTAATGAGGTTGGCCTTTTGGAATGGAGATGTTGTATCTGTTCACAAAGTCTGGGCCAATCTATTCCTAAACAAAACGCCTTCAGCCACAGCTCCCACAGAAGGCTGGAGCTGATGGATTAAAAAATAGAACAACAAAGACTTCTAAAATCTACATTCCCCCACCCAAATTCCAAGGACAGGACAGGACCTTTAAGACAGAAGAGGATTTATCCACCATCGTTAGAATAGCAAAAGACACAAGGCTCACTATATTGCACAACCCGCTGGAGCATCTCAAACACAAAATCCCAGAGCCCTATAAAAATCCATCCACTCACCCAGCCAATTGTTCAGCCACCCCAGAAACACGCTGCTGTCACTAAAGTTTCTGGCATCCAAATAAACAGAGACCTTCTTTCTATGCAGCCTGCCTCCATTTTAATTTCCAGCATCTTCCTTCCATCTTGGAAACAGACCATATTTTCCTTCCAGCAGTGGGAAGCTACTGAAACTTTTACAGCTAGTCCTTGAGTTACAACCATTCATTCAGTGACCATTTAAAGTTATATCAGCAGTGAAAAAAAGTGACTTATGATCATTTATCACACACACAACTGTTGCAGCAACTCTTAATTCAACAAACGCCTCCACTCAGTGGTGGGATTCAAAAAAATTTACTAGCTGTTCTGTGGGTGGGGCTTGGTAGGCCTGGCCATGTGACTGGGTGGTCGTGCAGTGGTGGGATTCTATCAGTTCGCACCTATTCACTAGAACCGGTTGTTAACATTCTAAGCAGTTCGGAGAACCGGTTGTTAGAAGAAAGTACTGGCCTAATCCTATCAGGAAGGCAGGAAGGAAACATTCTGGTGTTGCTTACAGAAACTGCCTCTCCGTTAACCCTTATTACACTCTTGGCAGGACTAGACTTCCTGTCTCAGGAACTTCTCTGGAGTTTTTTTTCCCCTCCTTTGCTGGTCCTTTGCTTGTGTGAAGTGACCATTCAAAGTTACAATGGGCACTGAAAAAAGTGACTTATGACCATTTTTCCCCACTTACAACTGTTGCAGCATCCCCACAGTCATGAGAGGCCAGGCGGGGAGATGCGTGCCTCGATGTGAGTGATGTTGAGTTGGCCACATCCAGCCAATAACATGACCACCAAGCCACGCCCACCCAGTCACATGGCCACCAAGCCACGCCCACCACCTAAGCCACGCCCACAGTCCATGAAACAAGAAACAAATAATGAGTCCACGAAGCAAGGAAGAAGCAGTCCCGCAAACTCCAGATTGTCTTCAACAGCACACCAAACTCTACCAATTCAGCATTTGTTCCCGACAAACACCCCTCTCCACAATGTCTCCTTAATTCTCAGTGCCCATGTGTGCCTTGTGAAGAGGGGTGGGGCACTCTTCTCCCTAGTCATAAAGTCAGTCTGTGCTGTTCCCATCTTCTCTCTACTCTCCGTGCTCAGGGATCCGGAGGGGCGGTCCTTGCTCATCACCTGAGCTCCATCGCTCCTCGTCTCCACTGCCTGCCCTCTCTCAGTCACCCTTCCCCTATTCCTCCCTTCTAACAAGCCACCCCAATCCTGAGGGGCCCTGGGCTGCCTCGGCCTGCTCCTCCCCCATATTCCTCTGAAGCCAAGGAAGCTGCCCCCTCGATCTCCGTCGGCTCCAGCTCCGGCTCAGGCATGACAAAAGGAGACAACCAGCACTTTGAAATTGCACCTGGAAGCAGGCCGCTGGATTTGGAACCAAGGGGAGCTTCTGGATGCTTTTCAAGGGCAGCCCCATGTCGAGCATGTTGCAACAGTCAAGACGGGAGGTGACTAGGACATAAACGATCTTAGGGTTATCATAAGAAAAATGCAATGCATGTGGAATACTTCCAAATACGAACATTGCCTCATCCACGTTTTATAGTGGCTCTGTTAAACAGGTCGTTTTAACGGAACCTGTAGAGCATTGATTCTCAAGAAAATGTAGAGCATTGATTCTCAAGAATCACTCAAGATATGTGGACTTTTGACTCCCAGAATTCCTCACCTAGACTGGCTGGGGAATTCTGGGAGTTAAAGTCAATGTCTCTTCAAATTGCCACAGCGGAGAAACACTGGATAGGTAAAGGTAAAGGTTTCCCTCACACATCTGTGCTACTCGTTTTCCGGCTCTACGGGACAGTGCTCATCTCCGTTACAAAGCCGAAGAGCCAGCGCTGTCCGAAGACGTCTCTGTGGTCATGTGGCCAGCAGGACTGAACACTGAAGGTGCATGGAATCTTATCCCCTTCCCACCAAAGTGGTCCCTATTTTTCTACTTGCATTTTTACATGCTTTCAAACTGCTAGGTTGGCAGAAGCTGGGACAAGGAACAGGAGCTCACTCCGTTACGCGGTGCTGGGGATTCAAACCACCGAACTGCCGAACTTTCTGATCGACAAGCTCAGCATCTTAGCCATTGAACCACCGCGTCCCTTAAACATTGGGTAGAGTCACCTAAACATGTCAATCGATGAAGAAATATTCACTAGAGATTTCCCGAGTTGCTACTTGATCCTCGGGTTTCATGTGTTTTCTCTTACTTCTGCTGTTTACAAAAATTAGGAGATTGTCCTCAAGTGCTTCGCAACGCTCTCTGCAGCTGGTTCTTCTCTGTGTGTTCTTTTCTTCGGTTTTTTTGGTTCTTCAGCTTTCAACTGAAGTTGAAGGTCATCGCTCTGAGAAGGAAGGTCTGGGGGCCCTCTACGGTCACCATGATCTGCCATGGGTTTGTCTGGCAGCGGTCCGAGATGTGGGATACAGCCAAGACTCTTAAATCAAAACAGACACAGAATAACAGAATAACAAAATAACTATCAGAATTACTAACAGAATAACTAACAGAATTACTAACAGAATAACTGAATAACTAACAGAATAACTATCGGAATAACTAACAAAAATAACAGAGTTTGAAGGGACCTTTGAGAATCTTTACAAATCCAAATACATTTCCATGCCAAAGTGTGTGTGTGTGAATGGAAACAGAGATCGATCCTGTCTTCTTCTTGGTAAGAAGATTATTCTAGCTGACCAGACATTTTATGCTTGCATGGAGTTCATAGAAATATTTTTATTTTACTTATCGATACAGTAGAACCTCTGGTCACAACCATAATTCATTTGTCATGGTCAGAAACGTTCGTGACCAGAGGTTCTACTGTATATCAAATGTATATACCCACTCATTAAACAAGTGACTCTAAGTGGCACTTAGCAAAGCTAAAAAAAAAAAAAAAGTTAATAAATTCCAAAAGTAATAATAATTATTATTTAAAAACGTTAAAGACTATTAAAAAAACCCAAGGCTAAGAAGTAGCAATAGCATAAGAAACTGCAATGAAAACGTCACCAAAGATACTTTGCAATTGACAAAGTCTAGCATTTAGTGAAGAGCAGAAAACAAATATATATCATGACATTGGGTAGAGTTTAGAGAACCATGCCTAAAATTCACCTATTATTCACTGGTCTTAATAAAAAGAGAAGATTTAACTGCAATAGATATTTTCACCCAATCTTGACTAATTAAAGCTTATAAAATCTAGCACCCAGGAGGCATCTGTTCATTGTCCTTCCAACGCTGATCCCATAATATGAAGCACAGATTATACAGGCACCAACTTTATCAGCTCACTGTATTTATCCGTCTTTCCTCGACTTCATCATCTTCACCCTTTGGTACGGGAGAACTTTGGCCCGCATCTGAAAGAGATATTTCTTGTCAGTAGCTCTGGGGAGGCGCCTCGTAACTTTGAACAGCTGCCAAAGAACCGTTCAGAATTACCCAGGTTCTCCTACCTGCTCAAAGCTTCAATCTCTGCCAAACTGCAACCAGAAATCTAAATCAAGTCATTGAAGATTTTGCAAAGCTGCACAAATTTCTTCTTAGAGACGTCTGCCACTAGATGACACTAGTGGTGCAACATACAATCCCGCATTTACGTTAAAGTGGGGGGGAAGGGGAAGGTTTTGAGGCAGCATAAAGTATGTTGTTTCCATCCCATAATATGCAATCGGAATGGCTTGGTCACGGAGACGTGGCTGCTCCGATCTCCTCCGAGACACAAAGCAGCTATCTTTTCGGTTTCTCTTGAAAACTTTTATTACGCTCCAGCAAAAGATAAAATACTAAACAAAGCAGAAAGAGAGGAGTTATGAAGAACAGACTTCAAGTTCCCTGGAAGTGTCTAACAAGATAAACTATTGCCTTGGCCGGCAGCAAGATGTGGTTTTCTGCATGTGTGTCTTTTTAATCCATTCCCTTGTTTATATGGCTGTTATTTGATTTTTTTTTAATGGGTTTCTTGTTTCAACAGCAAATTATTTTGTGAGAATGCAAAAAGGGAAACGGTAAAAGACTTACAATAAAATAAATACAGTGCGAAATGGGAAGGATTTGAGGGAGTGGTGGGGCCCCTATGTAACTTGGGGATTTCAACTCCCAGAATTCCCAAGCGAGCCATGTTTAGGAATTCTGGGAGTTGAAGTCCAGAGATCATAAAGGCGTCATAGTTGCTCACCTCTAATCTAAGGGAATCCCATAGGAATTCACTCTGGGAAATTGACGGACTCTTATTTCTGATAGATAAAAATAACAAATTAAAAATTGAATGATTTTGAATCAATGGTTGGAAAAGAAAAACAGAAATTAGAAATTAAGTGTGATGACCCGGGACGTGGCACAAAGGCAACACAGTCAGATAATTAGCGGGAGCCAAAAGCACCCGCCTGAGGATGGCGAGTGGGACCTCGCTGAAACGTCGCCAAGATACTCTTAATCTTACACGGGAAAAGACCCGAACACACCTAGACCTACATACATACATACATGAACATATGAATATAGAGGGGAAGGAGTTAAGAAGGGGATGGTTATAACGATGAGATATATTATGCATAGTAGTTTAAAATAAGAATGTAATGTAATTATTGGTAAGGAAATTGTGTTGACCATAAATCTTATGGCACAAGATATTTGTACCAAAAAGACACACTGTTTAAAGGAAAGATAGCATGTTTGTAAAAATAAAATATTTTTTTAAAAAAACTGAATTATCTGAATATCTCAGAGAGATATCAAAGACAACCTATAAAAAATAATCACAGAGAGGGCCAGTTCGGTGCTGTGATTAAAAGCAGGATTTATATTTGCCAAGACTGACTCTAGAAACGGGCAATATTTTCATCCAGGAACAAAGAGCATTTGTGAAGTCTGCAAAGGCAAGCGATCCTCGCAGTTACGACAGCGACCAAAAAAGGAACTTTGCAACCAATCTTCACATTTAGGAGCTTCACAAGTCTTTAAAGCAAAGGAAAGGTGAAATCCGATCAAAAGCACATGTCCGTTTTGCTTAATAACCAAATGGCTGGTCCCAACTGGAGTCATTCAACAGGAACTGCATTTAAGCTAATTCTTACATAGGTGCTTTACAGCCTTGGTGTTCTGACCTCGGCTTCCTTAGAAAGCATAAAATCCAATCTTAGCCCTGGCAAAACCTCTTTTACTTCCACGGCTGTGAATTACGTTCATTCACAGCCTGCAAGGCTTCCCAAACAGTCTTTCAGGGGAATGTTTATAAACACCCACCTTATCGCACTTGGAATGCTGCCAGAGAACAAATTGCCCAACGCAGGGCAAGCCAAACTTGACACAGAGTCAGACAGAACTTGAACTGACCAGACGAACTAATTGCTTCCTGCAAAAGCTCACATCCCGTTCACTCCTCTTTTTGGGGGAGGGGGAAAATCATCTCCGAGGTGTGGCCTGACTCCTGAGTGGACCCTGCTTTCTCAATTGTTCTTGTCTTCTGGTAGTCCTGCGCATGCGCAGGCTGGGAACTGGTTGGAGAACTCCCCTGCCTCATTGCTGTCTGAGTCTGAAGGCAGCTGATGACTGCCAGCCTGTCCATCTCTACATCCGATGCAGAGCCCTCCTCCGAGCCCTCCTCAGCCTCCAAGACTGGCCCAGGTTCCTCCCCAACCTCCTCGCTTCTGTCCGACTCTGTTGCCAGCTCCGTCAGCCAGCGGCGGGCCACAACACTTGGGAAGTTAGTAAATGCAAGTATTGGTAGCTAAAGTTACTTTTTCATCACTGTCGTTACTGCGAGCAATCACCGAACAAGGCGGTCACTAAGCAAGGACTCCTAAATTCTTTTTCTTCTTGCAAAAAGGACCAGAGAAAACAGATACGCAGCCATAGTAGTGCAAAACACCTCTGCCAATTTCCTAAAATGTGATTTATTGCTCAAATGCTCTCAAGAGGCCCTCTGCGATTTTTACATTCAATTACGGAGAATATAAATGGACAAGTGCATCCGAACATCATGGTTCTTCAACTCACTTTTTGGAAAGCGAGTTTCTTCCAGCTGGATTTTGAGCCAGATGTTAATGCGCTGAGTCCAGTCTCCGGGTGCTTCCACTTCCCACAGCCGAGGCTGCTCTTTCGGGTAAGTTTCCAAGAACTTTTGACAAACTAAATAGGAGAGACAAAGAACACAAGAAGTCATGATGTACAATCATACCTCGGTGTTCGACTGCTTCAAAACTCATCAAATTCGGTATTCGGCCCATTTTGAAGTAGAAATCTCATCCCAGCCTTTGCCTTTCTCTTAATAGTTGGCATGCAAGGAAGAACATAGCTGTGTCAAGATTCCAAGTAATACATCCCCTTCAACGAGAACTCCGAGGCAGGCATGTTCCTCAAAGAACATTTTATTAAAGGTAAAGACTCCCCTCGCGCATAATACGTGCTAGTCGTTCCTGGCTCTAGGGGCGCAGTGCTCATCTCCGCTACAAAAACAGAAGAGCCAGCATTGTCTGAAGACGTCTCCATGGTCACGCGGCCAGCATGACTAAAGGCCAAAGGTGCACAGAATGCAATTACCTTCCCACCAAAGGGGTCCCTATTTTTCTACTTGCATTTTTATGATCTCTCGAACTGCTAGGTTGGCAGAAGCGGGGACAAGTCAAGGGAGCTCACTCTGTTACACGGCACTAGGGATTCGAACCGCCGAACTGCCGACCTTTCTGATCGACGAGCTCAGCGTCGTAGCCACTGAGCCACTGCGTCCCTTGTAACATTTTATTGGGACCTATCCAATTAATTGGCAGAGACTTGGGAGGAAAACCGCCTCGAGGTTCCCTCCAGTTTTACGCCCAAGTAAAAGGAAATCTTTTGTCACTTTCCCCCAGAGTCTCCAGTCACATGGTCCAATCAGCATGTAGCCCAATTGCTAGGAGACCTCAGTCTCCCCCCTTTCGAGCACCTGCATCAACATCCTTGATTCCCGGGGAAAAGAATTGTATTTTGGCTACCACACCCCAGCTACCGCTACATCTCCCACCCTAGACCCTTAGCTACAGGCTCTGTCAGCCCTGAAGCAACAACAAAGAGAAACCTCCGTAGAGGAAAGCTACAAAAAGGAAAATGGCCATAGTTAGGCCACCTCCAGGGTTGACAGCTGTCTTGTGATTCACTATTTCTTCAAGCCAAAATAGCGGGCCACATGGTAAGTCACATGGTTTTCTCGGTACCTATTAGTTTTAGTATTCGTTGCATCTTCCAGAACAAATTACAGATGGGTATCTTGGTACCACGGTGTTCTGACCAAGGCTTCCTGAGACCGTAATTAAGCACACGCTTAGTCCAAACAAATCTTGTTTTATTTCAACACTGGGAATTAACTGCATTCCCAGCCCGTAATGAGTCCCAAACAGTCCCTCGAGATAAGCACTCACCTTTATCTTCTTTGAATTGCTGCCAACAACTAAAGGGCCAAATGAACTGTAAAAAGCCAGCCGAAGTATAAAGTCCACACAGAGCTTCAAGGATTAATCCAAACAGACCGAACGACTTTGCTTCCTGCAAAGGTTTCTCCACCTTTGCCTGTCCTTTATACCTTATAGGAGGGGCAATCACCTCCAAGCCTTACTCCCAAGTTGCCCCTTTTGTCTCAGCTGCTCTTGCCTTCTAGCAGCTCTGCGCACATGCACACTGGGAGCAGGCTCCCCTTGGTCCTCTGCCTCGCTGCTCTCAGACTCCGGAGGCTCCAGAGTCAGCACCCCACTTCCAGATGCTCCTGGCCCCATCTCTGCATCGGACGCAGGACCCTCATCCGAGTCCTCTCCAGACTCCCGGACCAGTCCCTGTTCCTCCCCATTGTCCAATTCCGCTGTTGTCTGCACAGGCTGCCGGCAAACCACAACACCCTTTAGGGTTTCCTGCTTGAGCAGGGGTTGGTCTAGAAGACCTCCAGGGTCCCTTCCAACTCTGTTACCCCGTTATTCTTCTTGCTATGAACTTGCTATGTTCCAACAACCGTTTAGGAGAAAACAGCAGGGACAATTATCATTTTCTGTGCGGAACTGACCCCTTTTAACATCCCAAACTTGCATGTTTTATTTCACTTCATTTAAATATCTGAGTCGGTGAAGGAGCCTTAAGACTGTGATCTGATGAATGTCCGCCTGGGACTTCTAAGGATTCCTGCATAACATTTACTAACAACATTTGGAAGCAGTGAAAACTCCTGTCTGGAAGGTTTGATTTATGGCTTCCGGTCAACCCTTAGCTTTTCTTCACCCAGCATCTGGGCCTCCCCTTCTCTTAAAAAAAAAAAAAAAGCCATTTATCAGAGTAGACACTGCACAGCTGTTTCTAAGGAGAAGAGCCTCCAACAGTATGACTAATGTCAGAGATTATTCCAACAAAAATAAGTTAAGAAAGATTGTGTTGGCTTAATTGAAGACAGCGCTGGAAGTTTTCATGTTTTAGGAATCAAGGCCATTTTCATTATGGATCGGCTGCGCTGAAAATGTAGATCTCGACTTACAACGAACAGGTCACTTAGCAACCATTTGAAGTCAGGATGGACCCCCCGAAAGGGGCTTTGCAACTTAATTCTGAAGTTCTGGATGTGACCGCATTTCAGACACTCAGCAACTGGCCCAAAATTGCCAGCTGTTTTGCAACATCCCACATTGATGCTGTCATGGCGTAGTGGTTAGAATGCAGTATTACATGCTAATTCGCTGCTGACTGCCAGAAGTTCGATTCTGACCAGCTCCAGGTTGACACAGTCTTCCATCCTTCTAAGGTCGGTAAAATGAGGACCCAGATTGTTGGGGGGAAGAGGCTGACTCTGTAAACCGCTTAGAGAGGGCTGGAAAGCACTATGAAGTGATATATAAGTCCAAGTGATATTGGGAGGGAAGGAAGGAAGGAGCTGTGAGCTGTGGTGGCACAGTGGTTAGAATGCACTGCTGCAAGCTAACTCTGCCCACTGCCAGAAGTTCAATCCTGACCGGCTCCAGGTTGACTCAGCCTTCCATCCTTCTGAGGTCGGTAAAATGAGGACCCAGATGGTTGGGGGCAAGAGGCTGACTCTGTAAACCGCTTAAAGAGGGCTGTAAAAACACTGGGAAGCAGTATATAAGTTTTAAGTGCTTAATCTATTCCTATTCTATTGCCATGATGGCACAGTGGTTAGAATGCAGTATTGCAGACTAATTCTGCTGACTACTGGCAGTTCAATCCTAACCAGCTTCAAGGTTGACTCAGACTTCCATCCTTCCGAGGTGGGTAAAATGAGGACCCAGATTGTGGGGGGAAAGAGGCTGACTCTCTAAACCGCTTAGAGAGGGCTATAAAAGCACTCTGAAGCGGTATATAAGTCTAAGTGCTATGGCTACGGCTATTCTATTCTATTATGTTCTGTTCTGCTCCATATTCTATTCTATTCTATTCTATTCTATTCTATTCTATTCTATTCATTTTTGCCCGTAAATTTTGGTGCATCTTCACAGACAGCAAATGGGATTTGGGAACGGCATAAGAGGCCTGTACGCTGCCCACAGTGGCTTACTCTGGCAAAAAGCTCTCTCTGCTCATTTCTTTCCCAGCTCCTCCTCAAAATGCCGAATCTTTATCTTGGGGCTGTTTGCTGTGATCTGTTGTGGTTCGCCGGCAGCCTGTGCAGACAGCAGCAGAATCGGACAATGGGGGAAGAACAGGGACCAGTCTGGGAGTCTGGGGAGGACTCGGATGAGGGTCTTGCATCCGATGCAGAGATGGGGCCAGCGCCATCTGGGAGTGGGATGCTAACTCCAGAGCTTCTGGAGTCTGGCAGCAGCGAGGCAGAGGAAGAAGGGGAGCCTGTTCCCAGTGCGCGTATGCGCAGAGCTGCTAGAAGGCCAGAGCAGCTCAAACAAAAGGGACGACTCAGGAGTAAGGCTTGGAGGTGAATGCCCCTCCCATAAGGTATAAAGGACAGGCAAAGGTAGAGAAACCTTTGCAGGAAGCAAAGTCGTTTGCTCTGTTTGGATTAAACCTTGAAGCTCTGTGTGGACTTTGTACTTCAGTTGGATTTTTACAGTTCATTTGGCCCTTTCGTTGTTGGCAGCAATTCAAAGGAGATAAAGGTGAGTGCTTATCTCAAGAGACTATTTGGGACTCATTACGGGCTGGGAATGCACATAATTCCCAAATAAAACAAGAGTTGTTTGGACTAAGCGTGTGCTTAATTACGGTCTCAGGAAGCCTTGGTCAGAACACGATCCTTGCCTGTATGGATTCCTAATCTTTAAAATCTTGTACTTTTATTGAATCTTCAAACTTTACCTTTTTCCATTTCAGCTGATAGAGGACAGCTGAGTCCCAAGGCATCCTCCGAGGGGAAAGACTGACAGAAATCCTGAAGCATCTGCATCCCAAGACCACATCTTCTAAACTTCTTTCGTACAAACATGGTGTCCAAAACAGGGAGCATGTAACACTGGCTGGTGTGTCCGTCACACAAACTTCCTGCATGCAGAGGACAAAATAAAGAAACAAACCAGAAAGGGAACTCGTGAAGAATTTCTTACTGAATGAATCTCCTTCTCATAGCTGAAATCCATGGCCTGCTTTGAGGACATTTCTCATTGGTTCTTCAAGAGATGCTTTGGGTCATCTCTTGCCTGGTTAAAAGTTCTGGAGAACTTAGAAGGACTTCCTCTCCGTGGAGAGCAACAACCAAGAGAGAGATTCCAGATGTGAAATATGGAGGCATAAATTAGACCTATTATGCTGTGGACGAGACTGTATCTTGCTTCTATTTATTTAGTCACCCGTCCAGTTAGTCATGACTTCTGCAGATCACAGAAAGCTAGATCTCTGAGTGAATATGTGATTCTGTGAGCAACTCAATCTGCCTGCCTGCTTTGCCTGCTTTGGGGTAAAAGTTCCTCTTTTTTAATAAAAAATTCAATATTTACATACATCGTATGTTGTGAGTTAATTTTGTGAGTTTGCTTGCAAGCAAATTTTATGTGACAGACTCAGGCAGCAGATTGCAGAATGGAAGATCTCTGAGTGAATCTATGATTCTGGGAGCAATTCAATCTGCCTGCCTGCTTTGCCCAATTTTGGGTAACAATTCCTCTTTTTTTAATAAAAAATTCCATATTTACATAAATATTTACAATATTTACATACAAGCCACGCCCGGCCAGTCACACCAAGCCATGCCCCAGTCAGCAAACCATGCCCCCCCAGTCATATGACCACCAAGCCACACCCACAAATTAGGCCCGCAGAACCAGTTGTCAAGAAATTTGAATCCCACCCCTTCCCCATATTGATTTTGGGTCTATTTCCAGAAGTGATTTGTCCTTGCCGTCTTCCTAGGGCTGAGAGAGAGCGACCGTCCTAAAGCAGGACAAGAAGTCATGTTTTCTGACTCCTCGTTCCAGCACTTCAACTACTAACCCAAAGTAATTCTTGATTTATCACTTTAGGTCAGTGTTTCCCAACCTCAATACAGGTAGTCCTCGACCTACGACCACAGCTGAGCCTAAAACTTCTTTTGTTAAGTGAGACACTTGTTAAAGAGAGTTCTGCCCCATATACAACCTTTCCTGCCACTGTTGTTAAGTGAATCGCTGCAGTTGTTCAAGTTAGTAACTCGGTTGTTAACTGAATCTGGTTTCCTCGTTGACTTTGAGCATCAGAAGGTCGCAAAAGGGGACCACGTGACCTTGGGGACGCAGCAACGGTCATAAATATGAACCAGTTGCTAAGCACCTGGATTTTGGATCAGGTCACCATGGGGATGCTGCAAAGGTAGCTGTGAAAAACTCGTTTACTTTTTTTCAGTGCGGTTGCAACTTTGAACAGTCCCTAAATGGACTGTTGTAAACCAAGGACTACCTGTAACTTTAAGATATATGGCACAGAATTCCCCATGCTGCAGGCTGGCTGAGGGATTCTGGGAGTTGTTTTATAAATGGCTAGAAACATAAAATTAACTAAAAGGGATTAGATGTAATTCTAAAGCAATAAGAGAAACAAGCATAATATACTGAATATCACTTATATTATCCGTATGGGAATGCGATGAGTATTATACGGTTATACCGTTAAGAAGAATATTATTAGGAATTGTTAGGCGCATGAAATGTGCACCTAATCGACACACGATTGAAATGGGATGGGTTTACTGTATGTTAAAAATAAAAATAAAATAATTGGGAGCAGGGAGAGGGTTCTTGCTTTAGAGAAGTCCTGAGGTCCAGTAAAAGCAAGTGCTCATTCCCTTCCCTGATCTCATCCGCAGATTTTTGGGCTTACTCGCGGCCTCATTCACTGCCCAGCCATGAAAACTATGTGTTTGCAATTACGTTTACAAGGCAGGCCCGGTTCTTCCACGGTGCAAGAATTTTGCAGCATAAGGCACCCCTTTGGGTGGGTCTCATTGCTGCCCCGTTACTCATACGGCTGGAACGTATGGACAGTGCTAAGAAAAGAACAAGGTCTCCCGTGAGTCAAGAAACCCAACGCAAGTTGGACTGCCTGGCAGGCCAAGAGAAATGTCACACTCCGGCCGTGAGATACCCTTCCCCATTTGGGGAAGGTTGGCAGAGTCCGTCCATCAGGGCCACCATGGCCTTAAAAGGGGATTGTGCGTTTTCGGTAGCACCATTCCACATTGACTCTGTCATGGTCAACCCAACCAGCCTTTTAGCATCTCAACCATTCACTTAAGAGAAGAACAGAGTTGGAAGGGGCCTTGAAGGTCTTGTAGTCCAGCCCGCTGCTCAAGCAGGAAACCTTATACCATTATGGACAAGTGGATGCCCAATCTCTTTTTGAAAACACGCACACACACACACACACACTGTTCATGTGAATTGGGATATGCCCCTCAGTTCCAAAAGGATCAAGAGCCACAACACAGAAGTTGAGGAACCTGAGCTGCTGTACTAGTTAAGCATTGGGGAATTATTTAATTTTTGTTTGTTTGCATTTACACCAAGACAAATTCCTTGTGTGTCCAATCACACTTGGCCAATCAAGTATTCTATTCTATTTTCATATCCCATCTTTATTATTTTTATAAACAACACAAGGCAGCCACCATGTCTAACACTCCTTCCTCCTCCTATTTTCCAGACAACCACCAACCTGGACTGGGGGAAAGGACTGGACTGAGGGAAAGCCACTGGCCCAAGGTCACCCAGACAGTTTTCATCTTCTTAATTTTTTTAATAGTTTTTAATTTTTTATTTATTTAATTCTGCCAGGGTGGGATCATCCATAATATTTGGACTAGATGACCTACGTGGTGCCTTCCAACTCTTGTCAACCTGTTAGCCTGGTTCTTTTTTGACTCTTATAAACACACTTAGAGTTGGGAAGCGGTGGCTCAGTGCCTAAGACGTTGAGCTTGTCGATTAGAAAGGTCAGCAGTTCGTGGTTCGAATCCCTAGCACTGTATCACGGAGTGAGCTCCCGTTCCTTGTCCCAGCTTCTGACAACCTAGCAGTTCGAAAGCATGTAAACATGCAAGTAGAAAAATAGGGACCCCTTTGGTGGGAAGGGAACAGCGTTCCTCTGTGCGCCTTCGGCGTTTAGTCCTGCGGGCCACATGACCACAGAGACATCTTCGGACAGCGCCGGCTCTTCAGCTTCGTCAGCTTCCGCCCCCTAGAGCCGGAAACAACTAGTACGTATGTGCGAGGGGAACCTTTACCTTTACCTAAGAGTTGAGAAGGGCCCTCAATAAAGACATACCTCTTATTTTGACCGTATAAAAGGCGGCTGCTTCTCCACTCTTCCAGAATATTCTGGCATCTTCCTTCTTAGGATGAGGAACGAAGACTGTATCATCAGTCAAGCTCCGCTCCGACATGCCAAAAATGATGCAGTTAAGGACAAAGAGAACGATTCTCTCTTGAAAAGTTTGAACCTTGAAGGACAAGTGAGATGAGGAGATATAAGACAACACAAACAATACAGATAATTCCTGACTTACATTTCATTTAGTGACCATTTGAAATGACAACGGTATTAAAAAGGGGGACTTATGTCCATTTTTCACACAACCGTGGCAGTGTCTCCCCATGATCAAAATTTGGACAATTGGCTACTGATTCATATTTGTGATGGCCGCAGTGTCCCTAGGACATGTGGTCCCTTTTTTGCAACCTTCTCTAACAAGCCAAGTCAACCGGGAAGTCAGGCTTCATTTTAGAACCGTGTTACTAACTTTAACATCTGCAGGGATTCATATAACAACCGTGGCAAGAAAGGCCGTAAAATGGGGCAAAATTCCCGGTCTCACTTAGCAACAGAAAAATTATGTTCCCTAGTTTTTTCCCATGCATGTAACAATGCATCCCTGGCCATATGCCTTTGAAAGTACCTCTCCTGTACCACAAAAATGGATGCCAGCCCATTTGTAAATCATGTCCTTCCAATGTTAATAACCTTTTATTCCTCAACAATATCCATGCTTTCATCCATGTTGATTGTTGTTATATTGTTATATTGATAAGAAGAGTATTATTATTAATTGTTACCTAATCAACACACGATTGAAATGGAATGGATTTATTGTTTTCAAAAAATAAAAGAAAATATAAAAAAGAAAAAGAAAAATTGAGCTTAGTTGTGGTCGTAAATTGAAGACACCCTGCAAGAATAACTGGTATGGCTCAAAAATATTTGAAGTGAGATTAAACAGTTTTAAAGTTGCCAAGTTTGGAGATCCCTGGCTTAAATGATGTTTTCACCTGTTTCAGGCCCTCCCGGAGAGGATCAGATGTCTTGATTACATCTTCAGGAAGCCGCCAGGAGTTGTTCAAATAAATTGCTAACACTGTTAAAAAGAAGGGGAATAAAGCAAGCAAGAATGAATGAAGCAAGGAACTTCTGTTTAAATAAGAATCTCCCAAGAGTGCCTTGAGCTCTCATAAATTTACAGGAAGCTTGTCTGTATTTCTTGCCGTGCATAATTTTCACATTCCTGTCGGCAGTAAAACATTTTTCTTCCACAAGTTTTCAGCAGCGGTGGAATTTAAGAAGTCTTGGGAGAAGGGGAGAGAAAAGTATTAACATATGTACTCCTACTGCAGTCTACACCAAGAATCTAAAAGTTGGGCTTTTCCACAACTAGTCCCACAACAATTCCACATAACTAGTGTGTGGCAGCAGCCCAAAAAGCCAATGCAATCCTAAATTGCATTAACAGAGGGATACACTCAAGATCAAGGGAGGTACTAATACCACTCTATAAAGCCTTAGTAAAACCACACCTAGAGTACTGCATCCAGTTTTGGTCACCACACTATAAAAAAGATGTTGAGGTTCTAGAAAGAGTGCAGAGAAGAGCAACCAGGATGATTAGGGGACTGGATGAATGGTTGCAGGAACTGGGCATGGCTGGTCTAGTGAAGAGAAGGACCAGGAGAGAGAGGATAGCAGTCTTCCAATATTTGAAGGGCTGCCCTAGAGAGGAGGAAGGGATGAAGCTATTTTCCAAGGTCCCCTTAAATACATTGGAATCATAGAAAATAGAATAAAAGGGTGGGAAGGGATTTTGGAGGTCTTCTAGTCCAACCCTTTGCTCAGACAGACCTTATACCATTCCAGACAAATTAATCCCTTCTTGGAATCCTCCAGCGATGGAATACCCACAATTTCTAAAGTCAAACCATTCAATTAATTGTTCTCACTGTCAGGAAATTTCTCCTAAGTTCTAGGTTGGATCTCTCTTGGATAATTTCCACCTGCTAGTTCTTGTCCTGCCTTCAGAGGCTTTGGAAATAGGTTGGAATCTCCGCTGTCATAGCCCCTCCAATATTGAAAGATGCTGTCATGTCACCCCCAGTCCTTCTCTTCATTAGACTAGACCAGCTTTAAGACTTGTGGACTTCAACTCCCAGAATTCCTCCTCCAGTCATGTTAGCTCGGGAATTCTGGGAGTTGAAGTCCACAAGTCTTAAACTGGCCAAGTTTGAAGACCCTGACATACCTAGTTCCCTCCATCCATTTATCGTATGGTTTTGCCTCTAGACCCCTGATCATCTTGGTTGGCTCTTCTCTGCTTTGTAAAAGTTGGTTACAAAACTTGCCATCTTTGTCCTGAGAATATGTTATGGAGATTCTCAGTCATCTAGTCATGGTTGTCCCAATGGTGCTCTTTCTTCAAGAGACAACTGGACTTTCTGGTTTTTCTTTGAAGATGTGTCCCTTCTAATCCAAGAAGCTTCTCCAGCTAAGACAAAGTTTCTTGGATGAGAAGCGAAACGTCTTCAAAGAAAAACCAGAAAGTCCAGTTGTCCCTTGTCTTGACAATATCTTGAGAATGGATCGTCTTATATGAAGGGATAGGGCAGTAGGGGCTAACCTTTTTGGGCTCCTGTGCCAAAAATTGTGAGTGCGCTTGCACACTCACGTGCCAGCACCCAGAAGGCAATGCACGCTCCCCCCATGCCCCCTACGCATGCACACGCAATCCCCGCCCCCTTACCTGCACTGTGCCTCACAGCTGATTTTTGGCTAGTTTGCAGCCTTTTTCGGCCTCTCAGAGGCTTGAGGAAGGCTTCTGCAGGCTTTGCAGGCTGAAAACTAGGCCCGTTTCGTCACTTCTGGTATTTTCAGAAAAACAGGAAGTGACAAAACAGGGCTAGTTTTCAGCCTGAAATGCCTGCAGAAGCCTTCCTCAAGCCTTTGGGAGGCCAAAATAGGCCTCAAACCGGCTGAAAATCCACTGTGAGGCATGCGCAGTGAGGTAAGTTTGCCTGAAGCTCACGTGCCGGCACAAATGGGCTGTGTGTGCCACCTGTGGCATGTGTGCCATAGGTTTGCCATCACGGGGATAGGGCCTGGGCCCAACCCAAAATAAAAAGAGCTGCCTCTTTTTTGACTGAATTAAACTAAAATTGACTGAAGAGTAATTATTAATGTCTTTATTTTTTTTATATTCAGTAACTTTTTTGGCTCTTCTTAAAAAAAAAAAATGTTTTAAAAATCACAATTGACCAGCCAATTTTTTTTTTGAAATGCTCTGGAAGACACAGCAGAGTTTTGGAAAGGGGCACGCAGTCTGTGTTCCCAGGCCTCGGATTGTTTTTCCAATTTAGGGTAATAAATTACCCACGTTATATCAATTCAAAAGAGAAGAGGGAAATGCAAACACAATACATCAAAGAAGCTGCCAACGAAAGGGATTCAGCTGTTACAGGATATTTATTTATTATGGGGCAGAATAATACAATAGTACACACGTGGGGAAAGGAGTATACCACATCTAATAAAAGTCCCTTATTTTGCCTTTAAAAAAAAAAAAACTTTTATGTTTCCAGAGATAATTCTAATCTACCTAGATCGGTCAGTTTCTCTTGAATAGCTCCCAAATGGGGAAGCCAAATTCACTTAATAACCGTGTTATTAACTTACCAGCTACAGTGATTCACTTAACAACTGTGGCAAGGTCGTGAAATGGGGCAAAATTCACTTCGCGGCTGTCTCACTTAGCAACAGAAATGTTGGTCTCAATTGTGGTTGTAAGTTGAGGACTACGTGTAGATTTCCTGGAGGTTTTCAAAAATAGATTGGACAACCATGTGCCCAGGATAGAATAAGGTCTCCTGCCTTGGGTAGGGGGTTGGACTAGAAGACCTCTAACACCCCTTCCAATCCTATGTTCTATGATTCTCATGTATTTATTAATCTATTAGTTAATACATTAGAATACATTGTTTATTAGAACATGCATTAGAATAAATACATTCTTTCTAATGTATTTAATAAGGACTCCTGTGCCTCGGGCAGGGGGGTTGGACTAGAAGACCTCCAAGGTCCCTTCCAGCCCTTTGATTCTATGATTCAAATGAGCTCCTAAGGCAAGGGTCTTCAAACTTGACATCTTTAAAACCTGTAGACGTCAACTATTAGAATTCCTGAGCTAACATGACTGGAGGAGGAATTCTGGGAGTTGAAGTCCACAAGTCTTAAAGCTGTCAAGTTTGGAGACTCCTGGAATAGATAAGGAGAGATAGAATAGATAAAAAGAGAGAAAGATAGAACAGATAGATAAAGAGAGGAATAGATATAGAATAGATAGATAGATGATAGCTAGAGATATAGCTATAGAATAGATACAGAATAGATAGATGAAAGTTAGATAGAGATAGATGATAGATAGATAGATAGATAGATAGATAGATAGATAGATAGATAGAT